GTAGAAGAGACATGAAGAAGAGGGGACACATGTTGATGTAGAAGAGACATTGAGAAGAGGGGACACATGTTGATGTAGAAGAGACACGGAGAAGAGGGGACACATGTTGATGTAGAAGAGACATGAAGAAGAGGGGACACATGTTGATGTAGAAGAGACATGAAGAAGTAGATTTTGCATAATAGGTGACCTTTAAGATATAATAGAAACAATTTGTCGATGTCAGAAAAGAGACAATAAGCGAGAATAAGAAACCCATGAAATGTCCACACAAGACAATCCTCGGTCTGTAATGGCGGAGATTCTCTAATAAATCCAGAATGTAATGTCGTAACATGATCATTACTCATTTTCATGTCATTATGGTTTTAAGAGGCCTAATGTGAATAAAGTCACTCCACCTCTCTGTAGAACAAACGGGTTAAACCATGAGATCACCTGCAGTGAGTTACGAGGTTAGAAAACAGGGTTAAAGACTAGCTGACATCTCGTTGTCTTTTTACTAAACGCTGCTAACTTTATCGGTTCAAGACAAGTCATTCAATGTCCGTTTGATTACTGTTGCATGGTTCATTGTATGTTCAATTGAATGTTTGTTTTAAACACGTTGCAGTTTTGCTTGAATTCTATATTATTTGCTTTTATGTTTGAAACTATTTTATACAGAGCTCGACATTATAGATGGCCCGCTGGCCCGGAAGCACTATTTAGACACCCCGGGCCAGCGTAACGTACTTTCCACTTGCCCGCTCGGGCCACTAAAATATATAAAGGTATTGGCTAGAGGGAAATGTCCCAGCAGTTTAGGATAATGAAGGTTCTAATCTAATACATAGCCATTACATGTCTAACTCCTAATGACAGGAAGGCAGAAAGCGCATTATACAAATAATAATAGCAGACATTTTTTAACAATGACCACAATATCATTATTTTAATAAACCAAATATGAACAATTGAGGAAAATGAGGAAGAACTGATTATTCAAATGTTGTAGTACAAGTAGTGATGTAGTTAGTGCATACATTACTATTGCAACAAATGTGTTAAGCGATGCCGATTCTCTGCGGGGAATACTCATTTATTGTATTTTGTATTTATTTATTGGCTCAGTTTAACCATATATGTATTACGTTAAAAATACACTGATGTTTTTACAGAGCTACATGCTTGTTGCTCAAAATCTGTTCCTTGCTTTTTTACGTGTACGTTTTCTATACTTTGTTTTGCTCCCTCGTCAAAGAGCTTCTGAATCAGGATGGAAAGTACTCTTTTCATAAATAAATAAATTAGGGACAGTGGATTTCTTATGCTAACGTGAATGCTACGCTAAGGAGAAAACAAGATGACGAGGAGGACCCATGCCAACATGTTTCATTCCGCTGCTTCACAGTGGAAACAAATGGCGGTTCCCACTTTGCTCTATAGAAAGGACATTCTTGGAAAAGGAAGCTGTTGCTTAAGAAGCTCCTGGGAAACATCAGTGACGTGTGCAGAGAAGATGAGCTTTTAAAAAGGGAAAAGAGAAGACAAGGTGCGCTTTAAACTAGGGGTGCAACAAGTGTGTACAAGTAAACACAAAATATCAGTTTATTGGTTATAGGTTTATGCATCACAATTTTAACAAGAAGGGCATTATTGTGCGATAGCAGTTTTGCAGTTATTCTGATTAGAAGTCATTCTATGTAATGATTACAACATATGAGCATCTGGGAGTCTTAGTTCTGAGTTTCACTATTAAAGCTGTATGACCGCAATAAAGTTATTCATAGTTTGAATATTCCGTATCTCATATGTCGATTAATATCATGCTTTGAAACTAGTCTTTGTGGCTCTGTACACTCGGCCTCCCCGGACAAAAACCACCAGACTCAGGGACACTTTTATCCAACAGGCCATAAGACTGTTAAACACCTGAGCTCTGTAAAGTGCCCCGATAAACAATCTCGTCATCTTGCAATCTACTTATTTATATAAACCGTATTTAATTTTTTCTTAATGTCATTATTTAATATTCTGTTCTTGTACATATCATTCTATTTACATGTATATAGACTTCTTTATTTTTGTATTTTATTATATATGTTGCATTATGGGAGGAGCTCGGGTCAGAAGAATTTCATTGCCATTTCAAGATACCGCTAAACTCTCAGTTTCTGTGTCGGTGCATTTTAAACCACTGGAGAGCTCGCTCAGTGAGATTCCTTTAGTTTCCGCCGGTGAAAACCTGCCCGATGCTGAGGCTGCCTGAGGACTGGAGCGGCAGCGGGGTGAGGGTGGGGTGAGGATCCTTCATGAGCCGACAATGGGACCAGACAGCTAACTGGTTTGGGGAGATCCAGTGACCTCAATCGTAGTGATGACACATTTAGAGCAGTTTCAGGTGTGGGATTACCATAGGTCTTTTAATATGGATAAGTTGGTCGTTTTTGATTTGGGTAAATATAAAAGACCTGTAAGAGACATGACTTTAAGATGATCTGTACCAAAACAAAGATTTGTTTATTAAGTCAGTAGAATACCGTTTCAGTTTCAAGTGTGGGTTTATCTTAGGTCTTTTAATATGGATAAGTTAAAGTCGTTTTTGATTTGGGTAAATATAAAAGACCTGTAAGAGACGTGACTTTAAGATGATCTGTACCAAAACAAAGATTTTATTAAGTCTGTAGAATACCGTTTGTAATTCAGATATTTTTACATATTTTGCCTTTACTGAATATTGCTCTTAATATTTTGGATATTGCACTAGTTCATATTGCGATTTGATAACATTTCAACTATTAATGCAGCCCAAATTCTGTTTGAATACATTAATAACATATTCCATAGATACAAATGTTAAACTAAAATGTACACTGCTACCATGGTTCAGAATTGTAGCTCTACACATCAGATCTGTGCCCATGTCTGTCTTCACAAGAAACTCTACGAAAAATGTGTATGGGGATATATGGAATGTGAATATTTAAATGAATAACTACAATGGGGGTTTGTACAGCTTATTAAAAAGTCAAATTCAAGCACTCTCTACATACCTAAATGAAAGGATTCCCACACTCCCAACGTCACAATCATCGCATAAAATGACTAATAATCAGAATAATTACTCATCCGCGATTAACACACCTTACAACGCCATTCTGTTTGAAATTGAGATGCATACACCTAAAACCATTAAATTGAAGATTTCCTCTTTCTTAATAACCCTGCTTCTAAAGTAGACAAAACATTCAAACGTAAAAACATTTTTGAAAAACGTATTCGGACATCAGTTTGGACTCTGGGAACATCGGATGGGAATGTTCCATTACAATGACATTTCAGAGACTCAATAGATTAATGGATGTTAAAAATAGTGGCTTGTTGAAGCGGACATTCGTTTCTGCTTTTGGAAAAACTTCACCTTTTTATTCTGAAATATATAGTTTGGGTCAGATATAAAATGAGTCTCCTGCTGACGAGTATTGAGCACAAACATTATCAGATGTAGGTATTACTGATTATCATAGAGATTAAAGACCTTACAAAAGAATAAGTCTCTACATAACTTTTCTGTTCTTCTGTAACTGCAAGAGTCTCATCGAGCCCCTTCATAATATATTAATATATATTATTGTAGAAATATGGCTTTTTGAATAGAAGATTAAAGCACACGTCTTGTATTTATTTACACATTCATGCATCTATACCCTGATAAAACCAGCAGGTCTAGAACTTTGACCCCTGTAATCTTACTCCTTTCCATTCAACATCAAGGTAAGGTGAGGCAGCCATAAGTAGGTCAAGACCGTCTCCATTGAGATATCCAGATAAACAGCCAACAAATGGAAAGACATTCCCTCAGATAAACAGCGTGACACAGCAAAGGGAGATACAACCAGGGAGGTGGAGCTGTATGAGGAAGTTAAACACTTTTGTGGTCAAGGTAATACACTGAGCAAAAATCCTGTGTGTGTGTGTGTGTGTGTGTGTGTGTGTGTGTGTGTGTGTGTGTGTGTGTGTGTGTGTGTGTGTGTGTGTGTGTGTGTGTTTCTAATGGCACTGACAACCCAAGTAAAGCCATAACATAGCCTGCTTTGTGTGCTCATCTATTTACAGGACAAATTGTGCAATACATTTTATTTATTTTTGGTTTAAGATTATTATTCATATGATTATTGAACTTTAACTAATAAATGTTGTTGTACACATTTAGGAGTTCATTGCAACAAAGTGCAAGCTATGCAACTTTATAGTTTATATATCTCTAACTGGGATGCTTTTAAATGTTTGTGATAAAACTAAAAGGATGATGTGTTACTACTTCTTTAACTAAATTAATTATTGAAAAACCCTCTTGGGAAATGCATCGTCGATATTTAATATGATATGTGGTTCCCATAGGACAGAGTGTAGGAATACTTTGTTACAGTTAAAAGGCCTGCAATCAAAATGTTACACAAGTAAAAGTACAAAAGTATCAGCATATATAGACAAAATATACAAAAGTAAAAGTACTCATTCTGCAGATTGGCCCATTTCAGAAAGATATATAGGTTATCATATGTTTTATAATGATTGATCATTAAAGTGTTCTCAAAGCTGGTAAAGGTGCAGCTAGTTTGAATGACTCTGTATACTGAAGGGTAGCTGGTGAATTTTACTCTAGTCTTATATGGTGTTGATTATACTTTCATATCATGAATCAAATCGGTTAAAGGTATTAAATACATGTAGTGGAGTAAAAGTAAAATATGTACCCATGAATTGTAGTGAGGTAGAAGTACAAAGTAGGACAACATGTAAATACTCAAGTAAAGTACAAGTACCTCAAAATTCAACCTAAGTATAATACTTGAACTACTTGGATACTTTCCACCACTGCATACTAAATAGAGCCCAGTGAAAACAGGATATGTGAGGCCTGTGCAGGTTGTTTAGCCGCTCCCAGGTAGACTCAAATCTACCTGGCAACTAGCTTAAAAAGTAAAGTAAAGTTAGCTTCCTGGGAATGTACTCACCCTGGGGCTCGAAGTAGAAGATAATACCGTCCTCCAAAAACCACATAAATGGAAAGTACCAAATCCTTCGTCGGTGTAGTTTGACCAAAAAAAAATGCTGGCAATTCCTGGAGATGTAACGGCTAAAAAAACACGTACAGGTTAGCCGGCTAACGTTAGCTTCAGCTCGGCTAGTGGTTTACACTACGGAGCTAGCAGCAAGCTTGTTAGCTTCGGCTATCGGTTAATGGCTGTTCACACTGCAAAGCTAGCAGTTAGCTTGTTAGCATCGAGCTAGACTAGTGGTGGTTTAAACTGCAGAGCTAGCGGCAGTTAGCTTGTTAGCATCGATCTGTTTACTTCCCAGCTGTCAGTGTCAGCGCAGTCCTGCTGCCTGTTTAGTTTAAGACTTCTTTGAGAAAGACGAAGCGTTCAAGGGTCACGTTTAACAGTTTCCATGTAGCTACGGAAAACTTTACCCGCACTCCTGACCCGCGGGCAGAGCCATACTCGCCGCCGCTGACATCGTTTTATCGGTTCTGTCGGAAACCCGGAAAAGGGGCCGACCGACACAAAATGGAGGCAGATCTGCGGTGCGTTAAAGTGTTGTCGTAAATGCCACATTCAACGTTTTTCTTACAACATTTTAATTGCATTTCTATTGAATATATAATACTCTAGTGGGTAATACATTACTGACGTATGTATCACAAAATATAATCGTTCTCAAAAGTAGTTTTAGTAGCATAAATTATGTGTTTGTCATTTATGTGTTGCGTTTTTGTGCTGTAGATGTTCAAAGTTTGTGCTTTTAAACTCATCACAATACTTTATTTATTCCGGGAGAATTCGTTTTTTACATAGTTTTAGCAGTTGCTCCATTTTAGAATACAATGAAATAACGATGTGAATACAGAGCAATTAAGTAAAACATAAATAAATATGTCTATTACAATATACAGTAGTGTATTCATATTTATGTTATTTATGATGAAAACCAGATTAAACGAGTTTTTTGGCCAAATCTGATGTTTGGCCAAAACAAATGCTTAATATTGCAAGAAATAGGGCTCATATTAAGAGTAAGGCATATTACAAGCTTGTATTGTGTACAGAGTATTCTTCATCGTTATACCAACATTAAAAGTTAACGGACAAAGGACACCATTAGAAAAAATGCGAACAGAATGTTCTCTTTTGTATTAAAAGTTGTTTTTGTCAATTAATGGTAACATGTGTCTAAGAAATCTGTAAATATGTGATTGTAAAATTAAAAAAATTAAAAAACAAGACTTTAACTCATCCATATTAAATTATGAATCTGACCTTTCAGCATTTTTATTTGTACACATGAGTTTCACCTTTTAACTTAAAATGCTAAGAATGTTTTCCTTCTTATATAAAAGTTGTTTTTATACCATAAGGTTTTTGTTGATCATTAAAGCAGACAAGACATACATATCAAGGCAAATCTTTTTTTCATTTATATTAAGTTTCATTGGTTAAAACAAAGGCAATACAACACAATCAAATGTGAAGTGTATATCAAAGTAAGCAGGGTAGCATTATATTATTATATGTTGACAACCAAACATTTAAATAGGTAATTAAAGATATTAATTAAAGAAACATAATACTAGTGTTACTTTATCCATTATTAATCAATTAGCTGGTTGTACTTCAGTAACACCAGCGTCCATGTACACCACTGCCTGGTGTTATGGCGCAGAATGTCCACTGGATGGAGCACAACACAAATGAAATATAAGCATGGAGTCACTGTACTGTACACCAAACACCAATATAAGTGGAGACTATGGTGGAGACATAGTTTGTTACACATGTACCGGATAACCTCTCATGTTGACCAAGGACAAAAGTGGTTTTAAATGGTGGTCAATTTAGTAGTCAATAATAATGCCCATGCTTTATTTTTTGAATTTGTCCTTGCTTGTTGAACAGTATAAAAACAGTTGCTGGATAAATATGTCAAAAATGTTTATGATAGAGATACAAACTGAGGGGATCTTATGCATACAACAACAGATTATATTTTCTATTAACCCTAAACATTTCCAGGCACATCACAACACCGTATTTGGCCCAAGGGCCGTAGTTTGGACACCCCTGGAGCAATGAAGGAAGGAGGGGGGCTACAACGTCACACTCCAGAAATGAAAATTATGTTTGTAAGAGAGGCAGCCACACCGAAGTGGTCGAGGCATGTCTCTGTTTCTCTCAAAGAAAATTCGAACTGAATTCATCAGATCCTTCTCAACAACACAGCAGGAAAAGGAAAGGAGGTTTCAAACTTCCTTTATAACCTCCTTTAGCTTAGGAACCACTGGACCCCCCTAACCGAAAGGAGATGATAAAATGCTGCCCCACAATGCATGAATGTAACTTCTGTTAGACAGCCATATGCCATACATTTTTGCACACATTCACAGTAAATATGTATTCAGTATGATAGCTGTCTAACAGAAGTTAAATCAATTTCTCACTTATTCTGACAATGTACTTAACCCCAAATAAAAGAACCCAATAAAAAGAGTTGTTAAATAATAGTGAAGTCACGTCGTAATAACAATAACTCATCTCTCTCGAGTTTTATTTTTGAGCTTTGCTAAAAGCCACTGTGTCAACTGTCCATCTTGGGTTGCCGTCCGGAGTTGTCCAATATGGCGGACCATCTCGCACATGCGCACTGCAGATCGGGCAGAGCTGCAGATCGGGTAGTGAGTAGTGACAGCCGTCACTCAACAGTCGGCCGTTCACGGAAACAACCGATTATGGGAGAAATTATATCATGAAAGTTACGGTGCTTATTACGCATTTTAAAACGTAGCCTATGTGGTAAGTTGCCAAAGTGCTTTGTTTTGAACGTTCATCAGTATTATAATCAAAAAGAGAAATATAAACGTTAGTTTTTACTGAAATGATCAAATAAAGTCAACATTTCACTGAGCTGTGTGGGGGTTGTTCAACTGTTAAAAGATGTTTGAATGGTGATATACACAGTGATAGATGTTAAGGACTAACGTTTATAATAAATACATTTGTATTTATTTTAAGATCTTTTAATAGTTCATACAATCATACGTATTGGGATCATTTGTATTAATGTGGACCGGAGGGAGAGGGTGACGAGCAGAAGTTTCACTTTTTTATTTCAATTCCAACTTTGGTCATGAAGAATATGTTTCTCTGTTGTCCACGTTCATAAAGCATAAAGCAACAGCATCAGAGCACGGTGCAGAGTCTCTAGATGAGTTTACAGTAGTCCCTCGTTCTTATTATACATCCATGTTGTAGTCCGCTGTATAGAAAACTGTAGTTTCCATAGTTTCCTCACAGCAGCAGACGCACATTCATGACGTCCGCTGGCGCATCATAAACACGTCGGATAGTGAAAGTGCACTCGGATTCTCTAAGCACCGCAGTCTCTTCTCCTAAATCCTTTTGAATTCTCCTATCCACTATCCCTTAACCCCGTGACGTGTCACTCAGATGTCAAGGAATAGGAGATAGGGTTAGAATTTAGGAGCTGATTTTTGGATTATCGGAACGCAACCCAGCTGATTATATTTACCCTGTCAACAAGGAAGATTTACACAAAACGTTAGCTCTACTCAGGTGACACTTAATGTAATACTTCAGAGTAAGTGTTAACAAGATAACTACGGCTATCTGTCCTCAGGCTAGCCCACTTTAACAGCTTCTGCTAGCTTCTTTCACAATCTCTCCGTGTCAGTTTTTGGGACTTTTTAACCTCCTTTGTGGTTGGGAGTTTAGCTTCACTCCTGCTTTCCTGCCTACGTTTCTACATCCTAGATTTTGTCCAGCGGTTTTACATAAAAGTTTTCCCCATGCAGGAGAAGCACCAACAAGCTCTTTATGCGAAGCAGCAAAAGGGAAATAAAACGTTTGTTATCAAGTAAGTTCTTAAATTAAAAAATGGTCTGTGCAACAGGATGTGGACATAAGTTTAAGATGACTTAAATGTTCGCGGTTGCTTCCAGCCTGGCATTGAGCAAGTCAAAACATTTTTATATAATTCAATATAACTCTGCCTAAGTTTATATTTTAAGGAACATTAATCCTTTTTGTTGGTTTTTCTTTATTATTATTATTTCACACTACAGGTATAAAAAATATGGCTGCTTCAAACTATCTGCAATCTGAAGATCAGTTCCTCTGCTGCATCTGTCTGGATGTGTTCACTGATCCAGTCACAACATCATGTGGACACAACTTCTGTAAAGACTGCATCACCAAACACTGGAATTCTAACTACCTGTACCTGTGTCCTATGTGTAAAAAAGAGTTCAACACAAGACCTGAGCTGCACGTTAACACTTTAATCTCTGAGATGGTAGCTCAGTTCAGAAAGGCGGCTCAACAGAAAGCCAGCAGCAGCAGCAGACGCTCAGAGCAACAAGTCTTCAAACCAGGAGAAGTTCCCTGTGACGTCTGCACTGAAACCAAACTGAAGGCCCTGAAGTCCTGCCTGGTGTGTCTGACCTCCTACTGTGAGACTCACCTGGAACCTCACCTGACAAAGTCAGGTCTGAAAAGACATCAGCTCATCGACCCTGTGGAGAACCTGGAAGACAGGATGTGTCCGAAGCACGATAAACCTCTGGAGCTGTTCTGTAAGACCGACCAGACATGTGTCTGTATGCTCTGCATTGTTTCAGACCACAAGATGCATGAACTGGTTCCTCTGAAAGAAGGATATGAAGGGAGGAAGGCAGCGCTTGATGTTCAAATTCAGCAGATGATCCAAAAGAGACGACACAATATTCAGGAGATCAAAGACTCAGTGAACCTCAGTAAGGAAGAAGCAGACAGAGAGGTAGCAGAAGGTGTTCAGGTCTTCACTGCTCTGATGGAGTCTGCTAGAGGACTGAACAAACTCATGGATACGGTCAAAGAGAAGCAGAAAACAACTGAAAAACAGGCTGAAGGCTTAATCAAAGCCCTAGAACGGAACATCTCTGAGCTGAAGAAGAGAAGCACTCTGATGGAGCGTCTCTCACACTCTGAAGACCACCTCCATCTTCTCCAAAGCTTTCCATCCTTGAAAGTTGCTCCACAAACCAACGACTGGAAAAAGGTCAGCATCCGTCCATCATCACATGAGGGAACTGTGGTGAGAGCTGTGGTTCAGCTGGAGGAGACACTCAGTAAAACTCTGCACCGCTCGTCATCTCTACGGTCACGGTAAGAATCCGTATTACACGTTATCCAGTGCACACAGTACAGTGATAGAATGACGAGAATATCTATTTAATTCCTTGTAAAAAAAAAAACAGACATTTTTTTTTTACAGGTTCCCAGAGTGCCGTAGATGATCCTACCGGACACTGAGCGAGGGGCGGGCAACACCTTCGACATGTTATCAATTACGAGCATGACAAAAGGAGAAGCAAGGGGACCAAAGGAACATTTAAGCTGCCGCTGAAACAGGGAAACTCCACACAGAAGAGCACGGCAAGTTCGAACCTAAAACCATCTTCGTGTGAAAATGCCAGCCGCATCACCCTGCCGCCCAGAGATCAAATTTAACACAGTGGGAATTGAGTGGAAAAAAAGAAACGCCGCAAGATATCTTGATGTATAGCTACAGACAATATATTGCCGAATGTTTAATAAAGCTTCATTTCAGAGTAAGGCCTATTTCTTTGCCTATAGGGTCTACAGAGTATGTGTCATTGTTATGCATTGACAAAGTGGTTTAATAGAACAGATACTGACACATTTTTCCATTATGTTAATTACTGTAGCCAATATTTTGTTTTCTGTTATAGTTTAATGTTGTGATCTTTAATATTTCAGTCCTCGTTGATTCGGTGAAATGCTGGGTACTTGTGAACAAAGCAAGAGTGGTTTAATACAAGTGTAAAGCTGCTTGAGCAACTGCTTAGTCAGAACTACAACAGAAGAGCAGCTGCAGCACAAATAGACCAGGAGCATAGCAATAGAGCAAGACAACAGTCTCCGCTCATGCACACTAGCTCCTGTGGGTATTGTCCACAGTATCTGACCATTGCATGTATCATATATGTGTAATGTGTGTATATGTAAAGCGCTTTGAGTCATTGATAAAGCGCTATAATAAATGTAAGGAATTATTATTAATTAGCTAGGATGGCAGCATATTGTTTTTAGGAGCCTTGAAGAAAAAGGCATTTGTGAAGGAGGGTGACAAAAGTTGTTCGTTTAAACAGATTGTGTGTATCTTTCAGGTCTGTACGTTGTGTAGGAATCATTTCTTTTTTCAAATGTAATTCAATTACATTTCTATGTTTACTGGCCTGTGCCACTCTCATCCTTTGTGTACTCATTATGAACCAAAATGTGTTTTTTGTACAAGAACAGCTATTAAAATAATCGATAGACTCCTTTCCTATTGCTATGTGTTTCTGTTTTAATGTGGCGCGTCACGTTCAACGCCACAAACACAACTTGGAAGCAGGGTTGGTTGAAAGTGAAAATGTTCCGATGAGTATTTATTTGTTTATATGCGTTACTTATTCAGACCGTCTTTCAAATTCCCCAAACCGATGATGGTGATTGTTCAAACAGTGGAAAGACATCAAAGACTTAAATTAGTGGGTTTTTCAAAAATTAAAAGTTTTTTACGATGATCAGTGAGGACAGCATATTTGTTTTGTATGTTATTTTTTGTAATTATGATCATGGTTTAAATTCCTGTTATTGTACTTATATAATAGCCCGAGGTTAGTGGGTATTTACATTACATTGCATTTAGCTGACGCTTTTATCCAAAGCGACTTACAATAAGTACATTCGACCAGGAAGACACAACCTTGAAGAAAACAGAATCATATAAGTACATCAGGTTTCATAGAGCAAAAACATTTCAAGTGCTACTCAACTGGCTTTAGATAAGCCAGTCCTTTATTAGTATATAAGTGCCTTGTTAGTACTTTGTTAGTAATTCTATCGCTCGAAGTGGAGTCGAAAGAGATGAGTTTTCAGTCTGCGCCGGAAGGTGTGTAAGCTATCTGCTGTCCTGATGTCAATGGGGAGCTCATTCCACCATTTTGGAGCCAGGATAGCAAACCCACGTGTTTTTGCTGCAATGTTTTTGTGCAATGTAAAACGGGGTATGTTGTATAGTGGGAAAGGGGCTTAATGCTAAAGTGGTGTTCATATCTATCTAGATACCTTCGTTACTGTCCTGTGTTGAAGCCATAGGTTGAACCCCCTATCTCTAATAAGTCAACATTACATGAGTTTCTCAAAAAAACAGCCCTGTTTTCAGCTTTGTGTCAACACATCTAACAGTTGATCCAAGAGGGTTTTTGTGTAGAAGAATTGTCTCAACACATAACCAAACACTCTGGAGATACATGTTTTCTACTTGACAAGAAAGGGATGTAAACAGTCATCTGAAAAATAACTAAAGTGGTTATACAAATGCAGTGACGTAAAAGTAATGTTTGCCTCTAAAATGTATCGTAGGTGAACAACAAATTAACATAATTTGAATGCATGTTGTCACTGGAAACTTATTTAATACCTTTAGTTACTTCACAGATGTGGATGAATGATGTGAAATATAATCAAGTGTTGAATCAGACTTTAGTTCCACCTGGAGTAAATTCACAAGCTACCCTGCAGTATACAAAGTCATTCAAACTAGCTGCTCCTTTACCAGCTTTGAGAACACTTTAATGATCAATCATTATAAAACATATCAATATATTATTCTGAAATGGACCAATCTGCACAACGACTACTTTTACTGTCGCTACTTTCACTATATTTTGATGATAATACTTTTCTACTTTTGCTTGAGGAACATTTTGAATGCAGGACTTTTACTGTAACAGAGTATTCCTACACTCTGGTACTTCTACTTTTACTCAAGCACAAGATCTGAGTACTTTCCACCACTGTGCAGTAAAAGTAAAATATTTACCTCTGAATTGTGATGAGGTAGAAGTACAAAGTAGGAAAAAATGTAAATACTCAAGTAAAGTACAAGTACCTCAACATTTAACTTAAGTATAATTATTGAACTACTTGCTTACTTTCCACCACTGCATACTAAATAAAGCCCTGCATATACTAAACGCTAAACTCAAAGTATATGCTGCTTTTAATAAACATTTCTAACGTGAGTTGTCTGACTGGAATGGGGCAAAGCCTGCGAGATAGTTTAGGCAGCCAACTGCACCAATGATACATTTACACTTAAAGCGCCCTGCCCCTCTTACAACCTCGCTGCTGCGCGCCTGCCCCACCACCCCAGCTCCTGCCCCAGCTTCCTCCTGTAGGCTCCATGGGATTGTTATTTAATCATCACTCAATGTTCTATGTACATTTGTGGAGTGATGAGGCCCAAACCTAGATGCCAAACTCAAACTACATGCTGCTTCTAATAAACATTACAGACGTAAGTTGTCTGACTGAAATGCATTAATGGTCTGACATAATCACAAGGACACACATTGAGGAGCCTTGTTCATACATTTGGAGAATGGATTTCCACTTTAAAGCTACGGCTGAGTAACCTTTTCTGAACAATGCGAAACTGCAGGCTTTATAGAAAGTAATGGGATGATGACAAAACTATCTAGGTTGCAATTCAGCATCTGGTTAGAACAGCTGTTATTTCTTCTTTTCAAAGCTCCATAGTCTCATTTTTGTTAAGCAAAGTCAGTGGTTGTTGGAACGCTTTCTAATAAATCAGAGCTGTTGTCAGCTCATAAGGCCTTCTGTAAGAAATGTTTACTATAAAACTGTATATGCTACACAGAGCAGCACCTTACCGTGGTAGAGAGGTTTGTGTGCCCTGATGAACCTGGGGGCTGTATTGTCTGGAACCTTGTATTCCTGGTAGGGTCTCCCATGGCAAATTGGTCTCAGGCAAGGGGCCAGACTAAGATTGGTTCAAAAGATCTCATGAAAGAAAAACCAAGAAGTGAGGATACCCGGCCCGGACGAAGACCGGGGTCCCCTTCTGGAGCCAGGCCCAAAAGGAGGACTCGTCGGCGAGCGTCTGGTGGCCGGGCTTGCCACGGAGCCCGGCCGGGCACAGCCCGAAAAGGCAACGTGGGCAACACCTCCGCTTCTCCGTCCCGCGGGCCCACCACCTACGGGAAACAGCGATGGGGTCGGGTGCACTGCCAGAAGGGTGGCAGTGAAAGCAGAGGGTCTCGACGGACCAGACCCGGGCAACAGAAGCTGGCTTTGGGGACGTGGAACGTCAACTCTCTGGGGGGGAAGGAGCCGGAGCTTGTGCGGGAGGTGGAGCGTTACCAGCAGGATCTGGTTGGGCTCACCTCTACGCACAGCGTCGGCTCTGGAACCTTACTTCTGGATAGGGGTTGGACTCTATTCTTCTCCGGAGTTGCTCAAGATGTGAGGCACCGGGCGGGTGTGGGGATACTCACAAGTCCCCGGTTAGGTGCTTCGTTGTTGGAGTTTACCCCAGTGGACGAGAGGGTCGCCTCCCTACGCCTGCGGGTTATGGGGGGGACAACTCTGACCAAACAGCAGTTCAGAGTATACAGCCTTCTTGGAGACCCTGGAAAGAGTCCTGTATGGGGCTCCTGAAGGGGACTCTTTAATCTTGCTGGGAGACTTCAATGCACATGTGGGCAATGATGGAGACTAGGGGTGTAACGGTTCACAGAAGTCACGGTTCGGTTCGTACCTCGGTTTGGAGGTCACGGTTCGGTACGGTTCGGTACAACAAGAAAAAGCAAAAAAAAGTCCCAAATGCATAATTCCAGGTTTGTTGTTATTTATGTTTGAACAGTAGTGCAAGTTTCAGTTTAAAAATAAAGAACTCTGACATTTTGAATAATTAACTGTATTAAACGGTTAAAAACAAACCATACACAGTACACTCAGATGGCCATATTATCTATAATGGCTGATGTCAAACAAAAAGGTTTCATCAAGCTGTAAAACTAAAAAGAATGTCTTGAAAATATGACATCATAAATAATAAGAAAGTGTTTCAAGAGCGCAAAGTCGTTGAAAAACATATGCCAAAAGCTTCCGTTATTTATTTTGGTCTCTCGGCTCTCATGTCTATTGGTTTATAAAAACAGCGGGGATCAGCTGTTGAACTGCTGTTGTCTTTTGCTCCGGTGATTGGCAAATCTGGGTGATGCCTTCTGATATGATTTAGCATGTTTGGCGTGTGTTACTATTAGCATACCGCACCGCTGTAGAACAACGGCGACACACCGTCCTCGTCCGATCCACCACTCGCACACTTAATCGTTATTGTAGTCCACAGGGAACCCGAAATGTTCCCACACAGCTGATTTAAAAGAAGCAGGTGGGTTCTAGCTCCTGTGTGTTATCTGAAATCGCCATACTAACTTTTCTTCTTCTTGTATTTTGTTCGTTTTGTTGTTGTGTTTCTTCTTGTTCTTCATTTGTTGTTTAAGGGCGGCTGGCAAACAGCTTTTAGGCGCAATACCGCCCCCTGGATTATATATAGTGTAGATACTGCCCTGAATGACAGACTTTTTTCCCACTCGTAAGAAAAAGGCGTATTCGTCGTGTGACTGCGTGTGTCGAACCGTGACGTCCGAACCGTGACGGTACGGGACGAATACGGATACCGTTACACCCCTAATGGAGACACTTGGAGGGGCGTGATTGGGAGGAACGGCCCCCTGATCTGAACCGGAGTGGTGGTTTGTTACTGGACTTCTGTGCTAGTCATGGATTGGCCATAACAAACACCATGTTCGAACATAAGGATGCTCATAAGTGTACGTGGTACCAGAGCACCCTAGGCAGAAGGTCCATGATCAATTTCGTTATCGTATTATCGGACCTGAGGCCGTATGTTTTGGACACTCGGGTAAAGAGAGGGGCGGAGTTGTCAACTGATCACCATCTGGTGGTGAGTTGGGTCGAGTGGCGGGGGAAGCCTCTGGATAGACCTGGTAGGCCCAAACGTGTAGTTCCGGTTAACTGGGAATGTCTAGAGGAGGAACAAGTTCAGGAGGCCTTCAACTCACACCTCCGGCAAAGCTTTTCGGGCATTCCTGTGGAGGTTGGGGACATTGAACCAGAATGGTCGGTGTTCAAAGCCTCTATTGCCGAAGCCGCGGCCGAGGCAAAGCAGCGGGTGTGGGAGAAGTTCGGAGAAGACATGGAAAAGGACTTTCGGGCGGCACCAAAGTTGTTCTGGAAAACTGTCCGACACCTCAGGAGGGGGAAGCAGGGGACCATCCAAGCTGTGTACAGTAAGGATGGGACGTTGTTGACCTCAACTGATGGAGTGTTAGGGCGTTGGAAGGAACACTTTGAGGAACTCCTGAACCCGACAACTCCCGACAACTTCCTATGTTAGAGGCAGAGCTGGAGTATGACGGGGGATCAACACCAATCTCCCGGGGGGAGGTCATTGAGGTCGTCAAACAACTCCACAGTGGCAAAGCCCCGGGGGTGGATGAGATCCGCCCAGAAATGCTGAAGGCTCTGGGTGTTGAGGGACTGTCATGGTTGACACGTCTCATCAACGTTGCGTGGAAGTCCGAAACAGTACCGAAGGAGTGGCAGACCGGGGTGGTGGTTCCCCTTTTTAAAAAGGGGGATCAGAGGGTGTGTGCCAATGACAGAGGCATCACACTACTCAGCCTCCCCGGGAAAGTTTACTCTAAGGCAGAGTCCTGCATCGGGTCGGGTACCCGCAGGTACCCGACGGGTGACCCGCAAAAAAGGTGATTCGCGGGTGGTATTTTTTAAAACGCTTTTTTTCCGGGTTCGGTTCTGGTTAAAACAAAGATGATGCGGGTCGGGTCGCGGGTGTTGCGTAATAAATATATTAAAATAATAATAATTTAGTTTAATGTTTAAAATCCTCAGACCTCTCCCCCGCGGGACCGCGCATAATCATAACCTCTGCAGCGCATCAATCTGCTGCTGAGCGCGCCACATTCGAAATGGCTGAGGTGAAGCTCTCGAGAGGAGAATACAGCATTTTCAATAACACTTCCTCAAGAGCGAAACCCAACGTCTGGGAGGCTTTTGGTGTCATCCTAGATGGAGAAAATAACCAACATCCCACGCTTTTTGAGACAAATATGCAACTGCGTGTTAATAATTGCACGTTTTCACTTCATATATATGCGGGTTCGGGTCGGGTTGCGGATCTTGTGCCGACGGGTCGGGTTGCGGAACTAATTGGCAATATGTGCGGGTAGCGGGGCGGGTTCGGTATTGCACGTCGCGGGTGCGGGTCTTGAAAATCAGACCCGTGCAGGACTCTGCTCTAAGGTACTCGAGGGTCAGGCCGATTGTCGAACCTCAGATTGAGGAGGAACAATGCGAACGACGGATCAGCTTTTTACTCTCGCAAGGATCCTGGAGGGGGCCTGGGAGTACGCTTATCCGTTCGACATGTGTTTTGTAGACTTGGAGAAGGCGTATGACCGAGTTCCCAGGGAGTTACTGTGGGAGGTGCCGCGGGAGTATGGGGTGAGGGGGTCTCTACTCAGGGCCATCCAATCTCTGTACTCCAAAGCGAGAGCTGTGTCCGGGTCCTCTGCAGTAAGTCGGACCCATTTCCAGTGAGGGTTGGCCTCCGCCAGGGCTGCGCTTTGTCACCCAATCCTGTTTGTAATATACATGGATAGGAGTTTTAGGCGTAGTCGTGGGGGAGGGGGTCTGCAGTTCGGTGGACTAAGGATTGCACCACTACTCTTTGCAGATAATGTGGTTCTAATGGCTTCATCGGTCTGCGACCTTCAGCACTCACTGGATCGGTTCGCAACCGAGTGTGAAGCGGCTGGGATGAGGATCAGCACCTCCAAATCTGAGGCCATGGTTCTCAGCAGGAAACCGATGGACTGTCCACTCCAAGTAGGGAATGAGTCCTTACCCCAAGTGAAGGAGTTCAGGTATCTCGGGGTCTTGTTCTCGAGTGAGGGAACAATGGAGCGTGCGATGGGCCGGAGAATCGGAGCAGCGGGAGCGGTACTGCAGTCGCGGTACTGCAGTCGCTTTACCGCACCGTTGTGACGAAAAGGGAGCTGAGCCAGAAGGCAAAGCTCTCTGTCTACCGGGCCATTTTCGTTCCTACCCTCACCTATGGTCATGAAGGATGGGTCATGACCGAAAGAACGAGATTGCGGATACAAGCGGCCGAGATGGGTTTTCTCCGCATGGTGGCTGGCGTCTCTCTTAGGGATAAGGTGAGAAGTTCAGTCATCCGGGAGGGACTCAGAGTTGAACCGCTCCTCCTTCGCGTCGAAAGGAGCCAGTTGAGGTGGTTCGGGCACCTAGTTAGGATGCCCACCTGGGCGCCTCCCTAGGGAGGTGTTCCAGGCACGTCCAGCTGGGAAGAGACCAAGGGGTAGACCTAGGACCAGGTGGAGGGATTATATCTCTTCGCTGGCCTGGGAGCGCCTTGGGATCCCCCAGTCAGAGCTGGTTGATGTCGCCAGGGAAAAGAAAGTTTGGGGCTCTCTGCTGGAACTGCTACCCCCGCGACCCGACCACGGATAAGCGGGAGAAGATGGATGGATGGATGCTACACAGACACTCCACCGGTCATTGTGTCAAACAGAATGATTGTGATTGTGTTATCAAATTACTATTCAATCTAATAATGTATTTATTTGTGTATTTTTTAGATGATTAAAGCTCAGGTGCCAACGTTCTATATGTTTTGTTTTCACTTGAGAGCAGCAGAGGAGCAGGTCAGTGTCTCTGTCCTCTGGTGTCTAATGCTGTAATGAGCAGGGAATCAAAAAGGGTCTGACTGTGAAAGTTAGGTTTTTACTTGTTCCGTGTAAATACATTAGAGCTCTGAAATAAAGTTAAAAAATGTCAAAGGTAATTGCATCAACATTCATTTAGCCTAAGTTGGGAAGTCACTCTTTGTTGTGGCTCAAACTAAATGTGTTCACATTATGTAATAATACAACATTCAATTAATCTTCATCATGCAAGTACAAATGTAATATTCAAAGACTTAGCAAAACAGTAAAAACAGGGACAAATGTTATTCCACAGATGCTGTGTTTCACTTGCCTGTTTGTGCTGATTCAAACTATTACAACATGTTTCCATGTCTTTTTCAGTCTCTGTGTATCAGATCCATGTGGGAACAGCACAGGTGTAACAACAGGTCCAGACAACCGTACAGTACACATCTAACATGTGAGTCGTGATGAATACTAACCTCAACTTTGATCAAATAACTCAATATTAAAAATGAAATCACACTGTTAATAGACAGATGAAGATAAAACATTTTAAATACCGTCTCACTGAGCCCTGTGGAAGATAGAGTACAATAAAGCAGAAATGGTTTGAAATGAAAAGTATTTATCCTCTTTTTAACTTTAAGTTCACATGAACAGGGACGAACTCCTTTTATGAGCAAATGTTATTTATTAAATGAGGAAAGTTGACGGGATCTCAAAGTTTTAACTCTCATCAAATATGCATAGTTTAGTTTTAAACACGCTTTTTGTAAAAAAAAAGTAAATAATTGTTGGACAGCTAGATCTTATAAATCAGAGCTGTGATCTGTTCATATTAAGTGTCGTAGAAAGGCCTTGTGAAAAGGGTGTAAATGTGTTTCACTCTCTGTGTATGTTGGAGCTCCGTCATTTTCGTACATATGTGCGGAAGCCATTTTATCAACATTCATTTACATTACATTAAGACGCTTTTATCCAAAGCGACTTACATACATTAAGTACTGTGGACAATCCCCACAGGGTCTGTCTTGCCTAGCGACACAACGACAACTTGTTACCCCCTGATTAGAAGTCCAGCACTCTATCCACTGAGCCACAGCCACCCACATTTAGCCTAAGTTGAGATGTCACTCTAGTAATGTGGTGTCCTAAATACAATGTTTTAAAATGATGTTATAAATGAATGATTCCTTTTCATGTTCACTGTGCAAGTACAAAGGTAATATTCAAATAATTAGCGAAACAGTGAACAGTAACAACATGGAGACTTTTTGTTATACACAATATGTTGGTCAGGACTCCCTGGAAGAAGAGATCTTGTATCTCAATGGGACATTCCTGGATAAATAAAGGATACATAAATAAAATAAATAAAAAAATACACATTTATCCCCTGCTTGTTCCTGTTGATATTTTAAATTGTGTTTTCTCCACGTCAGTCTCAGTGTATTAGATATTGGAACAGCTCAGGTGTAACAGCTGTTGAAGTCCCATCAGTACCTACTCTATCTAGCATGTGGAATATTTGTAATGAACACACACATCAAGATTTATGACACACTCACTAATGAAAATGAAATGATGCTGTTGTGATTGAGAGACAGACATATCAACACACTTTAAATATTGTCTCACTGAGGCCCTGTGGAGGGAAATGTACAATGCATGATACTTTATTTTAACAAAAGTGTTCTTCATCATTTCTCACATGCACAGCAAAGAATGATTTCAAAGTGCGGACCCACTTTTGAACATGTCTTTGCATGAAAAAGCTTATTCCAACACACTTCGACAGACTGTGATCACTTACCATCAACATTTTCTTTGGCAGTCCAAACGTTTTATTTAATACCTTTATTTGTTTTGGTTAAAAATAAATGGTTTTGTGAGACATCTCCAGCTGCGCTAATGTCCAGATACTGTTTGGCTGTGTGAAACAGACAGAGTCTGCCAAGTTCAGTTGACCAATGATATTAGGCCAACAGTGAAAACACCCTCCCTGATGCACATAAAAAAGCAGCCAGTCACTTGTCGCCTTCAGAGTCTCTATCCCATCCAACGCTTCAAATAAACTTAAACGACAACCAACCCTTCCTCCTGCTCCTGTGACGGAGAGACATCATCATGCTGTTGTTCCTCTTCCTGTTGGGTCTGGCTCTGGGTGCTGTGTCTCCTTCAGAGGACCCTCAAGTGAAGCTTGAGCGTGGCAACTGTCCCATGTTCTGGTACTCCTTCAACAACCGCTGCTACAAGTACGTCGCCACACTTTTGACTTGGGCTGATGCAGAGCTCCAATGTGTGTCAGAGGGAGCCAACCTGGTGTCCATCCACAGTCAGGCCGAACATGAGTTTGTCAGATCACTGATCAAGAACTTTGACATTGCTGAGGGATGGAACTGGATCGGACTCAGTGACCTCCACAAAGAAGGAGGCTGGATGTGGTCTGATGGGTGTGAAGCCAAGTTTTTCGTTTGGCCTGGAGGAGAGCCAAGCAACCCTGGAAGACACTGTGTCCACACCAATTGGTATCAGAAATGGGACGATTGGCAGTGTTCTTCAACTATTGCCTCAGTCTGTGCATCTCGCATAACTTGTGTTTAGCAACTGAGATGTTACATTTGTCTGGTTGAACCAGGTCACTGTAAAACTGTTACTCTGTTAACATGCTTCTGACCACAATAAAGACATGAATGCACACTTATGTTTAAAGAAGTCATTCTACTAACCTTCATTTCTATGAATATTTACACAGGTGATTCAAAATGATCTCAAACTTAATTAACTGAAAACATATAAAAGTGTGTGTGTTTCTATGTGTGCATAAACATAGGCATTTTTCCTTGTATCTGAATGTTGAATTGGTTTTCAATAGAATCAATCCACAGAACAAAGACATCATTAAAAAGCAATGAAAATTATAGTAAATACAATTAAAATAAATCATTACATTCTAAATAATAACAAAAAACCAATGAGATAATGGGAAGAATAAAACTATATAAATACATAAATGAAAAAGAATAAAACAACCGTTATAATATATTTATTTTTAAATATACATGGGGTAAGCATTGTCATTACCTATCATACTGTCACCACTCAATTATATGCATGTTAAGAATAATAATCTTTCCCACATCAAGATGATATCATTTTATATATTTACACAGGTAATTCGATTGAATACGATCTCAAACTTAAATGAATGAAAACATATAAAAGTGTGTGTGTTTCTATGTGTGTATAAACATATGCATTTTTCTTTCTTTCTGTATCTCAATTTTGTATTGGCTTTCAAGAAAATGAACATGATACAGAAAAAAACATCATTAGAAATAAATGACAATTTAATTACATTTAAATGAATAATTAAATTCAAAGTAATAACAAAAAACAGGAAGAACAAACACTATTTGTCACGGTTGAGTGAAGGAAGCAGGACCCAAATGCAGATAACTCTGATAAACCTTTATTTCAAGGATAATGAAACCAACTCAGACAAAACAGAACACTCACCGGTGAACTCCGTCACCAACAAAAGACGAACCAACACTGAACACAGGAAGAGATCAAATACAGGGAGGGGTAATCACGAGATGAGAAACAGCCGGGGAGGGGAGGAGGAACACAAGGACAACAGGTGAACACAATCAGACAACTAGACACACCAGGGAAACTAACGACAGGAGGAACTGTGGTAGGAAAAATAATTTAACAGTAGGTCAGGAAAGAACATAGATTTGGTTTTTGTTTTATTTATTTCATGGTTTTATTGATTTATTGATTGATTTTTATTTTATTTTGATTAGGGCACAAGTTAAAAAGTTGGAATGATGTGATGATTCATTCTCATGTACAGTAGGTGGCGGTATGCACCTTTTAAGTTGTTTGCAATCCGCCAAAAGCAAGAGAAGAAGAAGAAGAACGACGGAGGAAAAAACACGGAAAAGGACCAGACAGTAACCCAGGAGGAAAACATGACAGCAAACACCCAAACATACAAAACTACAAACGTGACATAACATGAGAATCGTGACACTATTTAAACCAATAAATAAAATAAAATAATGAAAACAATCCCTATAATATATGTGTTTTTTAAAATATACATGAGGTAAGAATCATATCATACCGCTCACCTTTCACCACAACAATAATATACATGTTAAGTATAATACTCTTTCCTACATCAAGATCATATAACCAGGCCAAGTGTTACTGTATAGATGCTTTTCACATATCTGATCATAAAGACATTAATGTCAAACATCACATTACATTTATACCTTTATTATATAAATAATCATTCACATGTAGTATCAATGCTTCCTGCACGCCACTATTGCTACTTAATTTATTAAATTACTGTTAATCATAATATATTGTTTCATTTTAGATGTTCAGAAGTTCATCGATTGCAAATGCATTCCTGAGAAGAAAGCATGTTTGTGGTTTGAAGCTTTAAAAGTATTTTGTTATGTTTTAGTAATCTCCACGTAACACAAACTTGCACAAACAAATGTTTATCAAATACCATTAGATATAATATGATTTTCATTATCATATTATATCCTTTTATATGAGAAAACTACAGTTCAGGTGCCATTTTCAGAAGAAGATGTGAATCTGTAAAAGTACTTTTTTGTTTTTGGCCACTTGAGGGCAGTAGAGGAAAAAGTCAGTGTCTTTGTCCTCTGGTGTTAAAGGTCCCATGTCATGCTTTTCCGGTTATCACCCGTCCCCTTGTGTGTTATGTAGCTTTTTCTGCATGTAAACGGTCTGCAGAGTCCCACACCCTCAAAGTACACCCTGTGGCGAGCAGTGGCGGTTCTAGACCAATTTGGTGCTCAGGGGGAATGGCCATGCAGCAGCTTTGCCAGGCCTTCAAATAGCAGACTATCACCAGCGTCAGGCTCTCAGTTCACACAGTTTTGGTGGATAGTTATTTAATCATCAATTCATGTAAATGTAAATGTGTGGAGTGGTGAGGTCTGCCTAAACGCTAAACTCAAAGTATATGCTGCTTTTAATAAGAACAATTAACGTGAGTTGTCTGACTGGAATGGGGCAAAGCCTGCGAGATAGTTTAGGCAGTCAACTGCACCAATGATACATTTACACTTAAAGCTAATACATCAGAGCTGCTACACAGACACTCCACCGGTCATTGTGTTAGTCAAACAGAATGATTGTGTTATCAAATTACTATTCAATGTAATAATGTATTTATTTGTGTATTTTTGAGATGATTAAAGCTCAGGTGCAAACGTTCTATATGTTTTGTTTTCACTTGAGGGCAGAAGAGGAGCAGGTCAGTGGCCGTTTCTCAATGTCGAGTAAACCTGCTGCAGAGCCACTATTTCAAGTATACTACGTCATCGAGTGACGCCGAATGATGGGCATTTAACCTGCATTTAAACAGTCCTTCGGCGTCACTCAATGATGTAGTATACTTGAAATAGTGGCTCTGCAGCAGGTTTACTCGACATTGAGAAACGGCCACTGTCTCTGCCCTCTGGTGTCGAATGCTGTAATGAGCAGGGAATCAAAAAGGGTCTGACTGTGAAAGTTAGGTTTTTACTTGTTCCGTGTAAATACATTAGAGCTCTGAAATAAAGTAAAAAAATATCAAAGGTAATTGCATCAACATTCATTTAGCCTAAGTTGGGAAGTCACTCTGGTATTGTTGTGGCTCAAACTAAATGTGTTCACATTATGTAATAATTAGGGCTGTCAGTCGATTAAAATAGTTAATCGCGATTAATCGCAAATTAATCGCACATTTTTTATCTGTTCTAAATGTACCTTAGAGGAATATTTTTCAAGTTTTTAATACTCTTATCAACATATGAGTGGACAAATATGCTTTATGCTAATGTTTATTATCATTTGAACAATGACAATATTCTCATGAATATTAAACACAACAACCTGGAACCTCTCTCATTCAATAATACAATACAAATGGTGTGTGGTGTGTGTGTGTGTGTGTGTGTGTGTGTGTGTGGTGTGTGTGTGTGTGTGTGTGTGTGTGTGTGTGTTGTGTGTGTGTGTGTGTGTGTGTGTGTGTGTGTGTGTGTGTGTGTGTGTGTGTGTGAGATGGATCGTTGGAGCTATGTGCAACTCAAGGCATATGCTCGAACGGGAGCTGCCTGGACGCTGCAATCATGTTGCGCACTATCCGTGCTGAGTGTGCTGACTTCTCGTACAATGTCCCACTGTCTGGCTTCCTGCATAAAGTCAAGTGCTCGGCGCAGTTGTGGCGAAATGTCGCTCCTCTGTTTTCATTTAAACAGCTCCTTCTAGCCGTTAGCGCAGCTAGCTAGCACCAGATGCTAACAACAACAATGCACGTAAGGTCTCTCTCTCGCTCGCTCGCGCCACACATACACACCCCCCTCCCGGTCCTCCCAATAGCCAGTCGGTGCCTGCCGTGTGAGCGTGGAAGTGTGGTCTGCCACAAGCGGGCAGCAGGAGCGGGGCTGTCAGCATCAGCTTGTAGATGGTATTTTAAACTCGATGCGCTCTGAAACTACGGGGCGGCCGAGGAAAAAAATACACATGCGTTAATCGCGTTAAAATAATTAGTGGCGTTAATTTTTTTTTGAGTTAACGCGTTATTAACGCGTTAACTTGACAGCCCTAGTAATAATTACAACATTCAATTAATCTTCATCATGCAAGTACAAATGTAATATTCAAAGACTTAGCAAACAGTAAAAACAGGGGAAGAAATGTTATTCCACAGATGCTGTGTTTCACTTGCCTGTTTGTGCTGATTCAAACTATTACAACATGTTTCCATGTCTTTTTCAGTCTCTGTGTATCAGATCCATGTGGGAACAGCACAGGTGTAACAACAGGTCCAGACAACCGTACACTACACATCTAACATGTGAGTCGTGATGAATACTAACCTCAACTTGATCAATAACTCAATATTAAAAATGAAATCACACTGTTAATAGACAGATGAAGATAAAACATTTTAAATACCATCCTCTTTTTAACTTTAAGTTCACATGAACAGGGACGAACTCCTTTTTTGAGCAAATGTTATTTATTAAATGAGGAAAGTTGACGGGATCTCAAAGTTTTAACTCTCATCAAAGATGCATAGTTTAGTTTTAAACACGCTTTTTGTAAAAAAAAAAGTAAATAATTGTTTGGACAGCTAGATCTTATAAATCAGAGCTGTGATCTGTTCATATTAAGTGTCGTAGAAAGGCCTTGTGAAAAGGGTGTAAATGTGTTTCACTCTCTGTGTATGTTGGAGCTCCGTCATTTTCGTACATATGTGCGAAGGCCATTTTATCAACATTCATTTACATTACATTAAGACGCTTTTATCCAAAGCGACTTACATACATTAAGTACTGTGGACAATCCCCACAGGGTCTGTCTTGCCTAGCGACACAACGACAACTTGTTACCCCCTGATTCGAAGTCCAGCACTCTATCCACTGAGCCACAGCCACCCACATTTAGCCTAAGTTGAGAAGTCACTCTAGTAATGTGGTGTCCTAAATACAATGTTTTAAAATGATGTTATAAATGAATGATTCCTTTTCATGTTCACTGTGCAAGTACAAAGGTAATATTCAAATAATTAGCGAAACAGTGAACAGTAACAACATGGAGACTTTTTGTTATACACATTTATCCCCTGCTTGTTCCTGTTGATATTTTAAATTGTG